TTATTATTATTATTATTATTATTATTATTATTATTATTATTATTATTTGTACTTTGGGGTGATGCCTTCCCCTGTGGTTGAAAGTAGAACACTCCTCCAGGAGAGTGTATGTGTGTGTGTGTGTGTGTGTGTGTGTGTGTGTATGTATGTATGTATACACACACACACACACACACACACACACACACACACACACACACATATATACCCATATACATATAAATATGCCTATATCTATATGTAAAACTGTGCATATGGTAAACAGTATCTAAGGGTCCCCAACAAGGGAAACCCCCCAAGCGCTCCAAGCGAGAACTTTCTGGATTCCTGGTCCCCAACAAGGGAAACCAGCTATACAGGATCTGAGGTGGATTCTTTCCTGTCAAAACAAAGCGTCCTGCTGTTTAAAATGGCTTGCGGCTTCACTCCAAAGAAATGAACCAAAGGCAATTGCAAGGAAATTCCTGTTTAATGACTAGTCTGCTTATCCAACGTCAGCCAGACAAGGGAGAGCAAAACCCAGGGAGAACGAAGTGGGAAGGTACTGCCCCAGTCCCCCAAAAGGGAAACCAGCGGGGAATGGCGCCTGTGATATTTAGGCACAAACTTGAGCCAGCCATTGAAAAAGGCGGGAAGCCAGAATCTCCGCTGCTAATGTCTGAGAAGTCTAATGAGCCGCTGCTACTGAGGCTCTAACTTGTGAGTTAAATGCTCCTGTCAGACGAAACGGCAAGGCGAAGTGAGCCGCGGCTGCGAGCGCTCCGCTACGATTGCAGAGAAGACGATCGGAAAGTTAGATAAGGTAATTGCCTGAGGCAGTTGCCTCAGGCTGCCCGCGGAGTGGCAAGCTCCGCTAGTTACAAAGAAACTGTTTTTAAACTGGTCGAGACAACCTAATAGAGGCACAAGCCTGAAAAAAGCCAAATTAAATGGGGAAGATTTTTACAAGCCAAAATAACCCAAGAGCAAACCTGAATCAGAAAACCGTTCCAGTCAGGGAGTGCACAACCTTTTACCACGAAGGCTGAGCTAAAACTGGGGGACGCTGGGGAGGTGTCCCGTGGAGGAGGAGGAGTGTCCCGGAGTTTTAAGCCCAGCCTTTCCAGAAGAGACTGAAGCACCTCCCACTTCTGGATGCTCTGAACAGCTCATGGGAGAATGGTTCTCCCCAAAGCACCCCCCCAAAGCAATTAATCCAGGCTATGTGGAAACACAAGGCTGTGCTGCCCACCCACTGGCCCCCACCCTTTGGCCGAGCGCAAACCTTACCCTGAGTAAAGCCACGCAAGCTGGAACTGGAAGGTAAGACGAACAGCGGGGGAGGGAAATCCATCCCGGGGTGGCTTGCTGACGTTGGTGGGAAAGTCAGTTCCATATTTCAGAGCTGCAGTAGTCACAAGACTGACCCTTTGGTCATCCCGGACCAGTTCTTCCAGTCCATAGCAGGCCGGTGCACCCGGGTGGAGGAGGAGCTGCTCCGGGATGACCAAAGGGCCAGTCCTGTGACTACTGCAGCTCTGGAATGTGGGACCAACTTTCCCACCAATGTCAGCAAGCCACTGTCAGTCAAAATTCATATTAGTGGTCTGCGGGAGTTAAAATTATGAGTTTGGTGGTCCCTGGGGTCCAAAAGTTTGGCGAGCCCTGCCCTAAAGCATTCCAGGCAACTGATTATCCAGCTCTTCTTAATAACCTTCAGTGATAGAACACCCACAACTCCAGGATGCAAGCAAGAAGTAAAAGTTACTTATACAAATATTTATTTACAAAAAATATGTTAATTATGCTGTAGAAATTATTTTTATTATAAATGTGGATATTATTATGTCAACAGTACTTCAACTGGTCAGAATTAACCAGCTGCATTAAAGCACAACTAAAATTTTACTTATCTAGGTCGCTGAATTTCAGTTAATAAACATATTTAGGGAAAGTTTGCAGTATTATAGAAGATGTTCAGCATGAAGGGAAGAATATCATGCCTGAAACTTTGTCCTTATCAATCAACTATCCAGTTTTCTTTCAGATTAATGATGTTTACAATTTGTCATAGTAATTCAACAAAGCTTTGTATCCTGAACAGCTTCTCTATAAATGGAATGGAGTCTGATCAAGCACAGAATATTTACTTATCTCTTATTTATTTTGTGGAATTTTTGTAACACCCATTTAAATGTGAGAAGTGTACAAATCAAAACATAAAATCATCTCTGAATAAATAACACCCAACTCCTTAAAATTAATTCTGAAAACATTAATAATGAAACAAGTACACTTACCCCAGATGCCCATAAATATTGCAAAAAAGAGGGTTGCCACATTGTCAAACAAATGGGAATACTAGAATTGAAAAACAGGCATTATCCATTGAGTAATACATGAAACAGTATGTATTTTTGAAAATACAAATGTTGTAATTGTTACAAACCTGTGAAGACTCACAAGTTGAATTAAGCCTCCAGTAATCACATTTTCGATCACATAATGGACACATGATAATTTCTCCACCAATATCGGGATTACATATTTCTTTGCTAAAGAGGATGGACATAGATGTGGAATATTTAATAAAATGGATTAAAGGAATAATAGTGCTTGTTCACAATCAGAATTAATCTCTGTCTTTCAGTACATAGTAAGAAGCTATATCTGAGCTATTATTATGGTTGAAAACTATATCTGAGCCATTATTATGGCATAGATTACAGTTCTGCCACTGGGTCATAGATCTTTGCTGAAATATATTCAAATCAGCTCATCAGGTTAGGCCAGAATCTTTATATAAAACCATACATCTAGAAAGAAAGAAAGAAAGAAAGAAAGAAAGAAAGAAAGAAAGAAAGAAAGAAAGAAGGAAGGAAGGAAGGAAGGAAGGAAGGAAGGAAGGAAGGAAGGAAGGAAGGAAGGAAGGAAGGAAGGAAAGAAGGAAAGAAAGAAAGAAAGAAAGAAGGCAGGCTTCATCATTAACTGATCAATGTAACTTAACTAATGTTGCTATGTCAATTACACTTACCTGCTCATATTTTCATTCATTGTGAACAAACCATACAGAAAACAAATGAAACCAACAACAGCTGCAAAGAACAGCATCTCAGTATAAAAACCCAACCAGGCAAAATAAATCCCAATCTTCTCTCCGTAATACTTCCTGCAAGAAAATAATCCAAGAAAAACAAAGTCAAAGCTCAAAATAACAATAAAGGATAAAATTTTGATATAATGTTCTAAGACATATCCCAAAGGAACTTACTATAAAATAATCCTCAGCTTATTCACCCCTGAAAGTTCTAATACTGGCTATCTACTATATATCTAAAATATATTGAATTATTGTCAAGCCAGTTCTCCTATCTACTTTATTATGTATTTCCTTGGTCTTCTATATATTAGCACTCTGCATGCTTCAAAATATTCTGAAAAGGGGGCAGCACAGAAACTTTTTGCTAACGATTAAAGTAGCCATTTTTTCCAAACTTCTATATGAGAGTGAAAAGATATGGAATTTCTTTAAGTTGTTAACTCTGTATTTCTTTCTCAATCTTGGCAAATTTAAGATATGTAGACTTAAAAACTCAGAATTCTCCAACCAGCAATGATACTGTTCTATATTACTCTTAAAGAAACTGCAGTTGGTTTTTTTTTTTCAGACTTGTGTGGAAGCTGGGAAAAAGATGGATAGAAAGGTACTGTGCTCATATATGGTCACAAGCATGTCTTCCAAATTATTTTTCAAGCATACACTGCTTATTTTTACATTATATTCAACATATAAACATATTGTTTAGAAAAAGAAATATAGGCAGGTAATATAGCATACATTAGAGCCATGATGGCACAGTGGTTAGAATGCAGTAGTGCAGACTGACTCTGCCCACAGCTAGGAGTTCAATCCTGATCAGCTCAAGGTTGACTCAGCTCTGCATGTTTCCAAGGTAGGTAAAATATTTGGGGACAATATGCTAACACTGCAAACTGCTCAAAGAGTGCTATAAAGCTATTGCTATATTTCTGGAATGACCCAATGGCCATTAATATATCAGGGATGATCAATTTACCTGATAAGATCCAAGGGCTGTTCCTTGTAAAACCTAGGAAAACGGGCCCACTCCCTATATAAGGTATATCTTTCATTTTCACACTTTGGGTCATTTGACTTCTTCCAGTACTGACACTGAATCAGTGTGGAAAAATAAAATAAAGAACAAACAAAATACAACAATAAATAGCAACACAATTTCTCCAACAATACTATTGCAAAATACAAAATAAATCTATAGGTGTTTCCATGTTTAATAGACAGACATTTTTACACCTACACAGAAACAGAATGTATTCCTTTTCAACTTTTCTGGGAGAATATCAGAATCAATAAGACTGTTCTCCAAGTTAATTATATGTATGGATTTTGTGTGTCCAGCAAGTGTTCATTGCTTGCCACCAGAGGGCAACATAACACTAATCTCTAATCTTCTAATGCTCTTTTGTTCATTCTACAACTATAAATGGATACTGTTCTTTCTCTCCTTCCAATTTCATTTTTTTTCTGAGATATTTAGAGTTATTTTAGCATATGTTATATGCATTCACATACCTTTAATATAAACAATTCCATTATACTATTCACAATTACAAAAAACATAGAAACTGGCCTATTAAGAAAGCACAGACAAATGTATTCAAATACAATTTACAGAGAAAGACAGGTTTTCTTCAGAATATAATGCAAATACTGGAAAATAAATGAAAGACTAAAATGCCTACATCATGAAGAGGGTAAGCAGCAGAGTAGGTGCCATTATTTAGAAGTCTTTTGATTCCAAACTTCTTTTTCCCTTCTTCTGTTCCATATGGGCACCTTGTTAAAATATAAAAAACCTAGAAGAGAGGGGGATAGAACTCCATATTTAAAATTATTGCCATATTATTTAAACTATGAGAATGTATTTTTTTTCCTCTGTGAAATTTGACATGTTATTTTTGATTAGTTACATATACTAATTATGGCATTAATCTTTGAAGCCCTTTCTAAATACTTCTTGCAGTTTATAAAAGGAAGCAAGTTTTTCCGAGGATAAATTTTATTGTTCTTCCTGTTTCAGTCTTCTAGTTAGGAATCTCACCGCCTTATGTTTTTCAATATCTTTGTGAAAAAATAGAAAAACAGTATGACTCTTCTATTAGGGATATATAGATAGTCCTCGACTTACAATCTTAACTGAGCTCAAAATTTCTGCTGCTAATAGAGATATCCGTTAAGTGAATTTTGCCCCATTTTACAACCTTTCTTGCCACGGTTGTTAAATGAATCACTGCAGTTAAATTAGTAACATGGTTGTTAAGTGAACCAAGCTCCCCCACTGAAAGAAGGTCAGAAGGTCGCAAAAGCTCCAGTACATTGCAACCGTCATGAGTACAAGTCAGTTGCCAAGCATATGAATTTTGATCACATGACCACAGGGAAGCTCCAATGGTCGTAAGTGTGGAAAATGGTCATGTCACTTTTTCAGTGCCTTTGTAACTGTGAATGGTCACTAAATGAACTGTTGTAAGCTACCTGTATTCATTTCACCATGTAAAATTGTGTGTCTGTTATAACTCTGCAAACTTTCAATTTAAGTTTTATTAATTTTCTACTCGATTGTGCAAACTTTCAGAGATCTGGTTTGTTTAATGATGCTTCTTCCTTTGACACTGCTTGGAACAGCAATGCTCCTCCACACTTCTAAAGGGCCAAGCTTCTTTCCCTTCCATTCCAATAATGAGAGAAGACAGGAAACACCTCTATGAAATAAATTGGCAAAGAACACCATCCTTGGGGGAAAAAATTGCCTTGACAACACAATAAGACAGGCATTCAGCTGAGGAGCCTTTGCTTGACCCTGCTGAATTCTCCCATATTTGGGCCTTCTGCAATTGCTGAGTCATCCTTTGTGCTGTAATTCAGGGTGAGTCATATCATTTAAATACAAAAGAAAGGCCTTTTCTGGCTGGAATAACCAAGGAAAGTAAAGCATATGCCATTTTATGCTCAGGGTGCTTTTTTCTCAAATGATTCTGTATGGCAAAACCAACCAACCTTAAGTCAACAACACTAGAGCATTAAGGACAATTTCACAGCGGTCCCCATAGGCAACATGTTGCCATCTAATCCACAAGCTGACTTTTGTTGTATTACACAATCACTGAATTGGTAAATGAAGTACTCACTATTCTGTTTCTGACAGATGGCGAGAAAAACGTATTCTCATCATCAATGAGGTACAATTCCTGTCTTTCTTTGCTAAATGGTGCTGTAAAGTAGTCAGGTTCAGGGTGCATCACAATCTCAGGTAGCCTAAATGGCGCGAATATGCAGTCCAATGGGTTCTCCACTGGGCAGGGAATATCATTCTCTTTGATGGGCATTTTGATGTTGAGTACTTCGGCGTAAGTGATCAGAATTTCCCATGGGGCGTGAATCTTCACAAAATATGTTTTGTCATTTTCAGACTCCTGCAAGTGAAACAAAAAAGAGTTGATCATAAACTAAGCAATTTGCCCTCCAAAGGTATGGTAGTAGCTACAAAGTCTACGAAGTTGGACAACTACCCTTTTCATCCCCATGTATAATTGGGAAGGGCAATGTCCTTTGAATATTTTCAGTGTTCAAAAAGCTCTATTTTTCTTCCAGCACTGATCTTGCTATTCTTCTAGGATTTATTTATCCATACTCGGATGAGGTTTATAGCATTTCAGAAAAAGTCCATAATGAACAATCTCTGGAGCAGCCAGGCTGAAATCTTCCTGG